ATATTTGATCAAATTCATCAAAGTGTGGATATGGGATTCACTGGTGAAATAAAGACGGGTACGAACATGTCGAAGAGGAGTGGCTATGCCTTGAGAGGCTCTGAAAATGATGCAATTTGTTGGCTGCCAAAATGAAATTGCAGTGTTCAAGTGAGAGAAGCAGTTACCTTGGATCAAGACGAGTCTGAGTGTCATCTTCGTTCGGATTTTCCACGCAGTGATGCAGGTCACTCCTAATTTTCTTCAACAATGGAGTACAGACATGTTGCCCAATAATCACTTTACTGCTTTCGCTGATGCCATACTCCTTTAAATACGTTATTAATTTTATGAAGGTACATATAGCAATTAACGCATAATGATTTGCAAAAAAATGCATTTGATAAAAACTATTTTGCAGAACGAAGCTTTCTCAAAATTATTAAGATGGTTTCTTTGTGAAAGCAGCTTCTTAAAAAATAAGTCCCAGACTGTTATAAAAACATCTGAAATAGCACTCCGGAACAGTTACACAGGAAATAAAGCTTTTCCCGCGTATTTCATCCCACGTTGTTTTTAAACATTCAGCAAAAGCAGAAAGTCCAACACCTCATTTGAACAGAATTTAGGCTTCTAAGAATCCCAAATGACTGTTCACAAATTACCTGTGGTACAACAATATCGGCCATATTTTTGGCGCAAAGATACATTCGTTCGAATTCCACTTCGTTGTTAATGCAAAGGTCTGGGTTATGTTCCATGTCATATTTTATGTTGTCGTAGATATCCGGTATTTTCGAAATATCAAATTCCACATCGCCGTTTTTGTTCACTCGACGAAATTCATGCAACTCTTTTGCCCAACGTCGTTCGGCCAAATCATACGATTCGTTCAGATACAAGCAGCGACCTGAAAAAGTTGGTAAACGCCAAATTACGGCGGTGGACAGATTATGCAACAACAAGAGGCTGTTAAGAATCCCAAGCAACCAGATGAAACCGCTACTTTCAATCAGCTCATTTCTCACTAATCATCAGTGAGTGGAAATCAAGAGTACGACGTCCCTGAAAAAAGTCTGAAGACGGCGAAGGACCGGTCACGTCGTAACTTGGACAGATAGTAAAATGATTGCAACTTGAATAAATGTTAAAAATGACCGGCGCGGCAGAGGAAATGAATGTTGCTGAAGGCGGATATACCGCCAGCAGAAGATGTCTTCTGTAAATCTCTTGTCAGTTCTACTCAACAATAATCCAAGCATTCCGTCTCATGAAATTTCAGTAAAACTCACAAATCCATCCAAGTTACCATGAACAGCGAAGAAGACGCTAAAGAGTCTATGCTATGCTCGAATTCAGCCTAACCAGTAGATTTTTTTTTGTCTGAACAGCAGTGGCGAGCAAATAAATCAGTTATGCTTTGGCAGTAACATATTTTTCACTTCAAATTATATTTACGAAATTAACGAGATGCTGCAAGAGTTCAAGGCACGAAGTAAGAAAATGGGCCTCAAAATCAACGCAACGAAAACGGAAGTGATGCCTGCATCAACAAGTTACACACACAAATTAAGAAATAAACGACAGCTCAGCTTTCGAAAAGGAGACGTACATACCTCGAATAGGAGGAGTGCGCTAAATGGAAGTATGTAACTCAAGAACGAACAGTTTGGCACAGCTGTGTTTGGCGTGTAGGAGCGCCCCAACAAAATCACTGACACTAAAACCCTACACAAACTATCCCCACCATGGGAATGAAATAATCCAGTGGCCGATCGCCTTGGTGATCTCGATAAAAAAACATAAAAATATAAAAACGGAAGCAATCAAAGCAGTCGAAATAAATAGCAGCGCGCACTAGAGCAGCCGATGCGTTCATGCGTTTCG